AACCATATACACTAACATTCTACACACATTGCATTTGTACTTGCCAATTTCAATATATACTGCTGTTCATTTCATTGGAATGAAGCATGGTGCATTCTTCTCCCTCCAAAGAAATAAGTAAGGGAACCACCTGGCCTAAACAATTGTTTGACAAACGTTTCTGTAAGATAAGGGGAAACCTTCCCCTCTGCTTTTTGTTTACTTCCCATTGATAGCATTAACCCCAGGCATTGTTCCCCTGTCTCTCAGCCAGGAAGGACACATGTTGATTCACAACACTCAAAGCAGCCCTGTATGGGCTCTTTGTCTCACAGGGCACATGGGCACATTTCCTTTGTTTAAAGATTCCTTCCCAGATTCCTTTGTGCTCCCTCATCCCGCCTCCATCTTTCCTGATTGGCTGTCGCCACCAGGTGGCAAAGGTCTCCCCATTGGTTCCTACGGACCACTGGAGCCCATCGCCCAATCATGGCAGGGAACAACAGTGAAGCCGGGGCGGGGAGTTTGAACTCTGCAACTTTGAATTTACTATAAATGTGACTGCATTGGTGTAATCTCCTCATGCTCTGCTGGCAAACGATTGCAGCTCGGCATCTGTTTCAGCTGAATCGCATTAAACCTCGATGGCTTTTCTTCAACTGGTGAGACTTTTCATTGGGAAATCAGGGAAAAATATGGGATGTTTCTCTGTCTCGCCAGGGAAAAAGAACTCTTTGAGGAGTCTAATTGGTCTCTGCCTCCTGGCAAAGACCCCTAAATTTTAGCTCTAGAACAGCAATAGTCCAACCTAGTAGTGACTGTTGCGTGGATTACCGTTGTCAATGCTTCTACTGAAAGGTAGGATGCCAATTTCCTTGCCTGGCGAAGATTAAAAAAAAAAGGCCTGCCTACTTATGGCAGTTATCTGGGCCTCCATCGTCAGCAATGAATCCAACACAACCCCAAGGCTTTTAACATTGACAGATGGAACCAGAGCTTCTCCATCGAAATCAGGCAGAAACTGGATTAATTCTGGTGGCTGGCCGGGCCAGAGTATCTCAGTTTTTGCAGGATTCACTTTTAGTCTGCTCGCTCGCAGCCAACTCATCACTGCTTCCAAACACAGCTTAAAGTTCTCAGGAATCGCGGTTGTCGCGGTTGATGCAAGAGTAGCTGGGTATCATCTGTATACTGGTAGCACTCTATGCCAAAGCACTGCACCAGTCCAGGAAGTGGTCGGACGTAGATGTTAAATAACAGGGGCAAAGGATAGCACCCTGGGGAACTCGACAGCAAAGTCAGGAGCTCTCAGAGCTTTGGCCTAACCACTCCACCCTGTCTTTGATCTGATCCTTCATTATTTTTCTTAAATGTTCCCACAATTCATAATGGCCAGTAAGATGGCTGGGATTTCTGGAAGTTCAAATCCAAAACATCTGGAGGTCCAAAGTTTGCCCATGCCTGACCTAAGGTAATGGACAAAATACCCCCCTGTAATGAATTGAAGCTGATCAGGTTTGCTATTTTGGCACTGGTGATGTTGCCAGATCAGAAGCACAGGGCCAGTCATCCCATTTCTATGTTCAGTGAGATGAGGCAATTCATAGGTTGTGATAGATAGAGTCTTCTTGGCAGTGACACCCAGCTGTGGAACACCTTCTCTGTAGAGACCCAATTGTCAAGCACACAGGCATCGTTCCAGTGCCAAGCTAAAATATAGCTTACTGCTAACAAATACTTAAATATTTGGATCTAACAAATACTTAAATATTTGTTAGACCCCTGAAATATTTTTCAAGGTGAAGTATTTATTTTATAGACTTACTGTATTTATATCCCACCCTTCTCACCGCAAAGGGACTCAGAGCGGCCTTACAATTGGCAGCAATTTGATGCCATTATCAACAGATAATAGAAAAATAAACATATACATTAAAACAAAAAATTAAAAAGCAATAGGACCAGGCTGTGGCGCAGCTAGCTGATAGCCAGCTGCATTAAGATCACTACTGACCAAGAGGTCACGAGTTCGAAGCCAGCCTGGGTCGGAGTGAGTTTCCGGCCATTAATTTAGCTTGCTGTCGACCTTTGTAGCCCAAAAGATATTTATATCTGTCAAGTAGGAAATTAAGGTACGACTTTATACAAGGAGGCTAATTTAACTAATTTATGATGCCATAAAACCTTCCAGCAGTGTGCAGAAGAATGAGGACTCAAAGGACTCGGTGTCACAAATGGATGGTGAAGCAGCAGCTCCCCCTGTGGCCGGAATCGAGCCTGAATCGAGGATATCCTCATGAAGCCAGAAAAGGTGGAATGTTAAATTGCCTCTGTGTCTGTTTATATATGTTGTATGTCTAAATGACATACACATTATTAAAACCATGCAATCTGAGGACATAGTCAAAAGCCATTCCCGTTGTTATTTCATGTTATTCCTCTTCATTTATTGCACTCCACTATGGGCTAAAGGCTTGGTCCCAGAGCCATGTTTTTACTTTCTTTCTGAAGGTCAGGAGGAAGGAGACTGACCTGATTTCACTGGGGAGGAAGTTCCATAGCTGAGGGGCTACCACTCACAAGGCTCTGTCCTTATCTCCACCAATCTCACTTGAAAAGGAGGTGGGACCGAGAGCAGGGCATCCCCTGATTATCTTAATCTCTGCGATTAATGACATGATAGATACAGTTAAATATTTGAAAGGATTTCTTAAAGGAACCATCTTGTTGTCTGCTGCTCCAGACTCTGGGGAATGGAGAAATGGATTCAGAAAATAGGATAAGAAATTACATCTAGATATTTTCTTGTTGATAATAGCAGTTCAACAGTGGAATACACTGCCAGGGAATGTGGTAGAAATTCCTTTTTTTGGAGTTTTTTAAACAGAGGCTGGGAAACCATCTGTCAGGAGTTTATTGTGTCTTCCTGCATGGTAGAATGAGGTTGGACAGGATGGCATTCAATACTATGATTCTAAATTAGTATTCTGATTTTACTTTTTGCTATCCTGAGGTCTTTCAATACAGAGTGTGATAGAAATATTGTATTGTAGTATGCAAGTAAAATGTTGCATGCTATCACTTCTTACCCTTTCAATATCTGCTGCCCAAGGCAGCCTCCTCATTCTTCACCATAACAGAAACTGCTGACCATAGGTCTGAAAACAAGCTGACAGTGAGCCTTCTTTGCTAAGATCAGTGTTAACCTTTTTTCTGGAATTTTGGATCTTTTACAAGAACAGTCCACCTGCAACTGAGCAAAAAAATGACATCAGTACTTGGCTATATGCCACAGTGAACAATATTACAGTCATACTTGTTTTGCATGGGGGTCAAGGGAAGTGCATTCCAATATTTGGACATCACTGGAATTTGTGGTAAGAAAGGGGAGGGACATACCTTTCCCAACATCCCCTAATAGTTAGAATGTTCCCAAAAGTGTGTTGTAATTCTCCGGGAATCATATATAAAAAGACCCCTTTCCTTCAGGCATCTCATCCTGAATTCAAACTCTTTTCGCAAGAGCATAGCAAGGACCAGAGCATCAAGCAACAACAATGAGGACTCATTTCGTTCTATTTGCTGGCTGCTTACTTATTCTTCAGACAGTCCCAGGTAAGCGATTGATGAATGTGAATGGAGATGATGAGGTACAGAACATAAGGGTTTGATTTAATGACAATGTTGTGTGGAATCCTATTGGTTAATTCCAATGAGAAGGTTTCTTAAATTAATATCCGACTAATCAGAGTATGGAATAGAAGTGTCTGCGAATTTATTTATTCTATTCAATTCTTAAATTGTAAAAGTGAATCTAATGTAATGATTTTACTCTAGTCATTAGCAATGGATCACATGGATCATGGCCTATAAAGACCTATAAATGAGTGCATTATTATTGGTATGGTTGTAGGTCATCATAAACCGAGCATCCCAAAGACTATTCAAATATTATTCAATTGCTCCTAGGGCTTCATCAGACTGGTGCTTTAAAGTGAGTAGCCCACATTTTTGCCATCTTCTGCTACCCGGAAAATTCTGGAAAATGTCATTTTTGAAGGTGAGGACCTCTGTAGTTGAGAATGCCAAAGGCCCCACCCTAAACTACATTTCCCATCATTCAGCAGGAAGTAGAACATGCCAAGAATGCTTTGAAATGGTAGTCTGATGAAGCCCCTGGTTGATTGGTTCTCAACCTCTGGATCCCCAAATGTTTTGGCCTTCAACTCTTAGAAATCCTAACAGCTGGTTAACTGGCTGGGATTTCTGGGAGTTGTAGGCCAAAATCATCTGGGGACCCCAGGTTGAGAACCACTGTATTAGAGTCTTATGGAGTGCCTACGTTAAGCAAGAGTTTTTTGATGCCACGAAAAGGACTGACAATTGTGGAATTGGAATTTAAACTATGAGATTGTGAAACGCTGACCGTTAAGGAGGTTTGTATGGATTTTTTTATTGCTTTTACTGGTTTTATGGTTGTTTTTACGTATAATAATTATTGTCTTTATGGTAATTGTTGTTATTGATAGAATTGCGGTTGTTAAATGATGTTATTGTCTTTTGCTGTTATGTGATGCGGGCATCGAATTGTGCCTCGCTTTTGTAAGCCGCCCTGAGTCCCCCCTGGGGTGAGAAGGGCGGGGCAGAAGCAACCAAAATAAATAAATAAATAAATTATCTGATGTTGGTAATTTATTTTATTTTATTTTTACTGCTATGAACAGATAAAGGCAATTGTGAGCTTTTTAATGTTTCCATCTCCCAAGAATATGACCGACTGTTGGACATGATGTATCTTGACTTTGGGATGTTGCCATTCTTTGATTACGTATTTATGAAAACTAACTATTATTTATTTATTTATTTACTGTATTTGTATACCGCCTTTCTCAGCCTATCAGCGACTCAAGGCGGTTTCCAACAAAACTGTATACACAGTATCATAGAGCAATTTAAAACATTACAATTACATGAACCACAACAACAATAAAACAACAAGCATTGTCCAGTTCCTAAAAATATTGGTTTGGCTCTGCTCTCATACATTGGCTAAGTGGAGTCATTTTTAATTTCCCTGTGTACAAAAATTGTGACTATGTCACACTTTTCAGTCTCAAAGAACAGTGAAGTTACATATCCTCTGAACAAGGAAAGCTTGTGATAGGTTCACCTTTGGGTTACCATAAGTCAGAAATGACTTTAAGGAACACAACAGCAGCATAATACTATCTGCCTGTATTGTGCACCAATTTTCAGTCTTTAAGCCAGGTGTTTTGGACTGGAGCTCCAGAAGCCCTAGCCAGCTTGACCAGTGGTAGATGAAGTCATCTGTTATGGGTGCTTTGAATGCGATTTACCTGCTTCTTGGCAAGGGATTGGACTGGATGGCCCATGAGGTCTCTTCCAACTCTATGATTTTATGATTCTATGAGTCCAAGTCCGAAAGTTTGAGAGTTACTCCATTAGAGCACAAGAGATTAAGTCCTTGCACTGAAATAGACCCAATCTAAAATACAATACAGGAAAGATGAGAGAAAATGTAGATTGGCCAACAAAGCAGGAAATCTCCAGTTCAAACTGATAGCTCCTTAAGCTGTTCTTCATAACATTTGGTTTCCAGACCTTTGATAATCTTGGTCATCCTCCTTGGGAAACTTTTTGACTTCTCAATATTTTTCTTGAGCTATAGTGGCCAGAACTGGACCCAATATCCTAGGTGAAATCTGACCAAAATGGAAAAGAGTGGAACTGACCTATAAATTCATGTACAATATAGGTCCAGGCTAATAGAAGAACAGTAGCTCCCTTTACGAGGCCATTAAAGATCTATGATCATGTGGAGAGTCCATTCTTTCCCACTACACTCCCAGTTTCATTTGATGGAAACAAGAGAAAACCTACAACAACCAAAACAAAGGGGCTTCTAAGATTCCTTCTATACTGCCAGATAATCCAGTTCAAAGCAGATATGGAATTTATATGGCAGTGTAGAAGGGGCCTCAGGCCCTTCCACACTCATATAACCCAGAATATCAAGGCAGGCAAACCACAATATCTGCTTCAAACTGGAATATATGAGTCCAAACTGCCATATAATCCAGTTCAATGTGGATTTTATATAGTTGTGTGGAATGGACCTCAGTGGAAGCTCCCAGAATTTGGAAATATCTCCCAAGGAGGCTTGCAATCCTTGCTCTTTTTTAGTCAGCAAGTTAAAAATTATGAAATTCATATTTTTACCAAACTTTACTATTGTCCTAGGCTTTGTCTACACTGCCACTTAATGCAGCTTAAAACTGCATTATCTGAAAATATAGATGGGACTTGGTATCACTCACACAACTCACTCCATTAACCCCAAAGTGAAATTCAAAAGGAGCTCTTTCTCTTTCTCTCTCCCATTTTCTGTAACAGGAAATGCTGATCCTGAGCCTGATACAATGGATTGCATGATGAATCGGGGATTCTGCATATCCGGAGCATGCCCTGGAATTACACGGCCAACAGGAAGGACATGTCAATGGGGAACCCTTGTGTGCTGCAAAATGTTAGTCAAATCTCACTGGCCTAAATTTAATTGCTAGTCTCAATGAGAGTAAATGAATGGAATCAACTGCTAAAAGAGCTGAGAGGTTCTGCAGAAGAAAACCGAAGGACATGGATCTGCAGGCAGGTTGCTGTCTGAAGAGAAGGGCCTGACAGAATTTGGCTTCTAGTTCCCATCCAGTTACTCACCTACACATTGCGTACATGGAAAATGGAAAACATTTGGCCAAACAATATCAAAGTGTCATCTAGATGGAAAGTTAGATTAATGAGGAAGAACACACAAGCAAGGAGAGCCTGCAGCATTTTGTGTTTATTATATTTTCCTGCTTCTTGGCAGGGGGTTGGACTGGATGGCCCACGAGGTCTCTTCCAACTCAATGAATCTATGATTCTATGATGATATGTCTTGGGAGACATGAGGTTTGTCATTGCCTGCTGCTGAAGTTGAGAGGGACTTGTCCAAGATGCATTTCCAGGGCAGAGTAGAGGTTTACACCTAACCTCCCTGAGTCCCAATTCAACACTCAAAATACTATATATAATGTTTATTCTACAAGAGCTTATATCAGGAAGAAAAGATAAAAGTCGAAGAAGTAACAGAATACCTGGGCAAACAAAAAATTAAAAGAATATCAGATGAGCGGAGAGAAGAGTTAAACAAAGAAATAACAGAACAAGAAATAAAAAAGGCAATAAGAAGTTTGAAGCCAAATAAAGCACCAGGTCCAGATGGACTAACAGCTATATATTATAAAACTTTCCAAAATGAACTAGTACCCTACCTAAAAAAAATTATAAACGAAATAAGACAAACCCAAAAAATACCGGAAACTTGGAAGCAAGCATCCATATGTGTAATCCACAAAGAGAATGCAGATCCTGAAAATGTAAAAAATTATAGGCCCATCTCTCTCTTAAATTTAGATTATAAAATTTTCAGCTTTATAATTGCAGAAAGATTGAAGAATTTACTAAGCAAGACAATAAAAACCGATCAAGCAGGCTTCTTACCTAAAAGAAATCAAAACCAAAACATGAGAACAATTGTAGATTTAATTGAATACTACGAAATTAAAAATCAAAAGAAAGTGATGTTATTGGCTGTTGATGTGAAAAAGGCTTTCGACAACGTAAATTGGAATTTTCTTAATTTTTTGTTGAAAGAAATGGATATTGGTTACTACTTCCAAAATATAATGAATGCCATCTATGAAAAACAAGAAGCGGAAATACTGATAAATGGACACGAAACAGAAAGCCTAGAAATTCAAAAAGGAACGAGACAGGGCTGTCCACTGTTGTCTTTGTTATTTATCTTAACCTTGGAAGTTCTAATGGATAGAATAAGAGAGGAGAGAGAACTGAAGGGCACAAAAATACAAGGAAGAGAATACAAAATTAAAGCATTTGCTGATTATTTTATCTGCATTATAGAAGACCCTACGGAGAATTTAGGAAATTGGCTAACAACAATAGGAGAATTTGGAACAGTATCAGGATTCAAAATAAATATAGAAAAAACGAAGGCACTAGTGAAGAATATATCAAGCAAAGAACAGAAAAAGATAGAGGAAGTATGGAAGATAAAAATTGTGAAAAGATTAAAATATCTAGGGATCATACTAACAACAAAAAATCTACATTTGCTACAAAACAATTACACAGACACATGGAAGAAAATAAAAAAGGATCTGGAAAATTGGAAAAGTATTAATCTAAGCTTATTAGGGAGAATTGCGACAGTAAAGATGAAAATACTGTCAAAAATGATTTTTCTTTTCCAAAACTTGCCAATAATAAGAACTCAAAAAAAGTCGAAAGAATGGAATAAAGATATAATGAATTTTATATGGCAAAAGAAAAAACCAAGAATTAACTTTAAGAATATGATTGAGGACAGAAAAAGAGGAGGCATGGGAGTTCCGGATTTCAAGACTTACCTTGAAGCTTGCGCACTAATGTGGACAAGGGAATGGTCAAAATTAGAAAATGCGAAATTATTGAATCTGGAAGGAATAGACCTAAGAGCCGGGTGGCATCACTACGTATGGTATGAGGGAGTAAAAAAAGAAAAAATGTTTGGAAATCATTTTATACGTTCAGAAATATATAAAATTTGGGAAAAATATAAGAAGAAAATTTGTGAAAAAAACCCATTATGGATATCACCATTGGAAATGGTACAAAGAAGGGAGTTAGGTTGGATGAATTGGCCAAAATATAAAGATCTGGTGAAAAAAGAAAATGGTAAGATAATTCTAAAAACCCAGCAAGAAATGAAGGAAATTGATGGGAAAATCTCATGGCTTCAATTTTGGCAGATCAGAGAATGTTTCAAAAAAGATGAAAAATTAGGCTTTGAAGAACAAAAGACATTTTGGGATATTATGATGCAGACTGATAAAAAATAATAACAAAGATATATAAAAAGTTAAGAGAATGGAACAAAGATCCAAAAGAGGAAAAGGAATATATGAAGAGATGGAAAGAAAATATTGGAAGAAATATAAGAATAGAGGAATGGGAGGAAATTTGGACGAAGAAATTAAAATATACGCATGCAACGGACCTAAAGGAAAATTGGCTAAAAATGGCATATAGGTGGTATGTAATACCGTACAAATTAGGCAAATGTTATAGCAATGTCAATACAAATTGTTGGAAATGCAGAAAGAAGGAAGGTACGCTGTTCCACATGTGGTGGACATGCGAAAAAGCAAAATCTTATTGGAACAAAATACATGAGATAATTCAGAAGATGTTAGGTATAAATATTCATTTAAAACCGGAATTATTCTTGCTGGGTATGACGACATCAAAAATGGAAAAAAAATACAGACAAACTAATATTTCTACTGACAACAGGGGCGAGGATATGCTATGCAAAACTGGAAGAAGGAAGAAATACCAGACATGGAAGATTGGCTACAAAAAGTTCTCGACATCAGAAATATGGATCGGCTTACATTTCTACTAGGGCTGGGCGGTTTCGTTCGTTAATTTCGTAATTCGTTATTGATTCGTATTTAAATTAGCTTACGATCCGATATTGAGCCATGCAGGAGCAACTAAAAATCGAAACGAATTTTTCAATTTATTTCGTAATTGTTTCGTAATTGGTTCGAAATCGTTTTGAAATTGTTTCCGTATGTCTGGTGCAAGTTTTAGGGTGGTTGTTTGTTTTATCAGTGATAAAAAATAAATTTTATCACACCAACAGTCAACAACAGAGGGAGAGGGAAGCTTCAGAAGTCCCCCCTGTCCCATTTGGAGGGTTTTTTTTGCAAATTGTGCAATCGCGTCCGCCATTAACGAATCGATTCATAATTGTTTCGTAATTGTTTCGTAATTTACGAAATTTCGTATATTTCGAACTTTTTTAAAGAAAAATTTCAGAATTCTTTTAAAAAATGAAACGCAAAAACCCTCTAAAAACGAATCGAGTTTAGAAACAAATTTTTCCATGGTTACCCAGCCCTAATTTCTACTATCAAGAAGCAAAAATAATTCGATACAAGAGACAAATTGGGGAAAAATTAATGACTATCTAAAGGAGACAAAACATAAGATAAAAATTTAAACAAAGGAAAATAACCCTAGGAAGAAGGAAGGAGAGAAGACATTCTATTCCTATTTTTTTCCTTTTTTTTTTTTTTGGAATAAAAGTAGGAAGATCAGAAGACAAAGAAAAAGAGAACACCTCCGCCAAGATACTCAGGAAGTCACGAAGATCTTCAATAAACTTTCTCTCTCTCTCTCTCTCTCCCTTTCCTCCCTCTCTTCCTTTTTCCTTCCCTCTCTTACCCTTTTTTCCCCACACACTTTTTTTTCATTATCTGATTTTAACTTTGTCACAGAAAACTCAATAAAATATATAATTAAAAATGTTTATATATTCATATAATATATTCATGTCCCGGCATTGAATATTTGCCATTTGTATGTTGTGCTCCACCCTGAGTCCCCTTCGGGGTGAGAAGGGCGGAATATACCTTGGGAAGGGCCCAAGATACCTATCCGACCGCATATCTACCTATGAACCCACCAGGACTTTGAGATTTTCCGGGGAGGCCCTGCTCTCGATCCCACCTGCTTCACAAGCACGGCTGGCGGGCACGAGAGATAAGGCCTTCTCGGTGGTGACTCCTCGGCTGTGGAACACCCTTCCCACGGACATTAGATTAGCACCATCTTTACTGATGTTCCGTAAGAAATTGAAGACCTGGCTGTTCAAACAGGCATTCGAATAATCAGTGCAACGATTGGTAATGAATAATAGGAATGGAGCAACGGAAGACGAATTTGGATTATGTTTTGGATGATGAGACGACGCTGAATGGTTATCGTAGTAATGGTGTTAACTGTGTATAGTGTTAGGATGTGAATTGTTTTTATTCTGTAGTTTGAATTTCGCTGTTTTGTTATTGTACACCGCTGTGAGTCGCCCCTGGGCTGAGAATAGCGGTATATAAGTAAAGTAAAGTAAATAAATAAATAAATAAATAAATATAAATGGTTTAAATAAATGTTTCAATTGGCCTCCTTGATTAGCATTTGATGGCCTGACAATTTTTAGGTGTAGCTTGTCAAGGTGACTAATTGAAACATTTACACCTACCTCCAACAGACAAGAGTTCTTTCTCCCATCTGGGAATTTCCACAGATATATAAACCCAATTTTCCTAGTTTCCAACAGACCTCACAACCTCTGAGGATGCCTGCCAGAGATGCAGGCAAAATGTCAGGAGAGAATGCTTCTATAACATGGCCATACAGCCCGAAAAACCTACAACAACCCAATCTTCAGGATCATCATAGATGAAATATGACCTTCTCCCAGTGGCCTTTCCATCTGAACAACTTTAAGGGCCATATGAAAGACATTTCTGTAGTAGCACTTCTGGGCTGGTGACCCATTTCCTCTTGTATCTCCTCCAAATTATATGGAAGGATTTGGGTGTCTGGCCATATTCTAGCAATAGTTTTTTCATAAGGAGGTTATGAGCAGCCCCAAAGCTGGGAGTCAATTCACCAGCACCCCCAAGAATAATGTTTCCTAAACAGAAAATGCTGTTCTCGATGTGAAGCATCCATGAACAAATTTTGCACAGTTCCAAACTATAAAAAAGTTTGAAAAAATACTGTTTTTTAAAATATTTTCTTGCAAGAAAATAAAATGGTCAAAATTGCAAGTTTCCTTTGGAAAAAAAAGTACTTAGTGAAAAATAACACCCTTCTTCATAATCTATGTTTTACTACTGTGTGTGATGACAAAAAAAGTGGTGTTGATCACATTTGGCTATTACTTATCTATCTTGTTTTTCTCATAGACCTTTTTAGAGCCTGAGATTCTGGGGGAATTTCTGCCTACTTCGTGACCTTGTATTATAGACAAGAATGAAGAACTCTCTATTCTTGAAGATTTAAAATATAGCGGAAAATTAAAGAAACACCACTCCTTGCCATTCTTGCCTCCTATCTCCCCCTCCTGCTTTTTACACGCACACACTTTGGCCCCTGGGAGAAGCCTCCTAACATCTTGCAATCTATTTAATACATTACTCCTAACCGAGTTGCAGTTTTATACATAGACTCTTGGAACCCAAACAAGCATTTGAGAATGATTAACGGAATCATGGCACTGAGCTGTAAACCGAAAACTACAAATTATGCTCAAGTAAAAGGAAGGAGGGGCCGACCAAGGGCAAGATGGATGGATGGCATCCTTGAAGTGACTGGACTGACCTTGAGGGAGCTGGGGGTGGTAACGGCCGACAGGGAGCTCTGGCGTGGGCTGGTCCATGAGGTCACGAAGAGTCGGAGACGACTGAACGAATGAACAACAACAACAAAAGGAAGGAGAGAAAGGAGAGCTATTTAGGAACATCAGGTTTTTGGGAAACTTGGGGAAAAAACCTCCTTGGCTTTATATATTAGAGCACCTTACAGTTTTGATTTAATATTTGAAAAGATATGAAAGAGCATTACTATCTCTTATGAAAATACATACCTTTTGACAACCCACTAGTTAATTCACCTTCAAATCTGCCTTCTCTTTTTTGTTTCTATGCACTTGGCACACAAGGCCTCTTCCTCATATGATTTAGTACTCTTTCACCATCTATATGATATATAATCCTTGAACTTTTGATCTCAGGTGCCTTTCTGGGGGAAAAAACACACATATTTGGATTTTAAAAACATTCTGAGTGTTATGAACATGACCTTTTTATTTGTGACATAAAATTATCACTGAATGAATTTCACATTTGCCTGTCACTATTTTGAATTCTGTTAACACCTTAATGAAATGAAATTAAAAGCATCTCCAACAACAACATTGTGCAGGTTCATTCCTTTGGTTTCTAGTAGTTTGGTCACACAACAGTTGGCTGATTGTATTGTCGAAGGCTTTCATGGCTGGAATCACTAGGTTCTTGTGGGTTTTTTTCGGGCTATATGGCCATGTTCTAGAGGCATTTTCTCCTGACGTTTCACCTGCATCTATGGCAAGCATCCTCACTACCTCTGAGGATGCTTGCCATAGATGCAGGCGAAATGTCAGGAGAAAATGCCTCTAGAACATGGCCATATAGCCCGAAAAAACCCACAAGAACCTAGTTGGCTGATTCCTTCTGCTTCTCCCACTCTATCTTTAAAATGGAGAAGAGGAAATTTCCCTTTGTCCTGACTTTAATATTGTTTTATTCCTGCTCATGAAAGAAAAATGAAAATTTGAGAAATAGAACTGAAAGAAAACCACATGCACACACATTCCACACACATTGCATTTGTACTTGCCAATTTCAATATATACTGCTGTTCATTTCATTGGAATTAAGCATGGTACATTTTTTAAAAAAAGACAGATGCCCATTTTGATTTAATGCTAATATACCTGAGTCTGTAGGGATTCACTCAAAAAGTATGGATGTGGAAGAAGAAATCCTGTGTGGATAATTGTGGAACATTGTCCCCATACAGACTACTTGGCAGAAACATTTTCATTGTTATAGCACCAAACTGCTCCCTCTTCCTTATGACATCATATCATATATTTATTTATACAGGAGACATGATAGTCATGTATAAATATGTGAAATGATGTCATAAGGAAGAGGGAGCAGACTTGTTTTCTGCTGCCCTGGAAACTCTGGGTTCAACTTACAGGAAAGGAGATTCCACCTGAACATTAGGAACAACTGAAAGAGCTATTCAGCAGCAGAACTCTCTGCCTTGTAGTGTGGTGAAAGCTCCTTCCTTGGAGGCTTTTAAGCAGAAGCTAGATGGCTATCTGTCAAGGGTACTTTTGAGATCAAATTTAAGGCTAGGACTGTGGATACAGAAGGTCCATGCCTGGTAAGCATTATGCTAAGAGCTTGAAGTTCAAGATCAGAGAACACACTCACCAGGTGAAGACAAGCCACAGAGGTTTGTTTTGATCTGGCCAGAAAGTATGCAAGTATGTCTGGTTTCAAAATGTACAAGCATAACCATGAATACAGAGACATGAGGTTTATACACATGACAGCTATTCAAACTTCCCACTCCTCTTGCTCTCTTCCTCGATTTGCCAGAAGAAAGACCAGTCTGGATCCACACCCTGATTGGTTGGTGATCTGGTGATGTCACCTCCAGGCAGGATTCCCTTGCAGAGAGGAGGAGATAATGGGAGATTGCCCAAGAAGAGCCAATGAGTTATGGGAGGTGGGTCTCCTGGGAGGAAGCAAGCCACAGGAGGTCCATGTCCATATTAGGAAAACGTTAATGAGTCTTTGAGTGGTTTAATTGTCCAGTTCCTGGAGATGAGGAAATGTTCTGGGAAACCAAGGGCAAGGGATCCTGGGAACAAAAGGTGATGATCTTCTTCAATTAAGCCTTGGACTTTAATAAACGAGTCAGTAAATATACCTATCCCAAGCCTTTGTTTCTATGGCAAGCAATTTCTCAGCCCAAATGGAACACTTGGCTGAAAAAACATTGGCTGGTCTGATTAGTTGATCACTATCAGTTGATCCACATGGACACACAATGGGCATTGATGGTCACCTTTGTCAGGGGTAGCCATTTTTTTTGGCACCATCTGCTCAGAAAATTTATCTGTGGGGTCAGTTGAAAGGTGAGGACCCATGTAGCATGTCTTGGCATAAATCATACATATTTGATAAATTTGATACATACATGGGAACAGGGTAGAAAGGATACAAAGTAGACAGAGAATTATAAAGAAAGATACATCTTATTGAAGGGTTAGAAATGATATAGTCTTTGTGGTAGAATTGCTGTTGCTGGTCTACTCCACATATTCGCTGATATGTATCAGTGCATATCTACAGACTTTTAATTAAAAAATGAAGAAAACTTTATGGGATAGTTGCAGTTACTGGTCTCCCTGCTGGCATTCTTCTTCTTCAGAATTGCAGAAGTTCAGGGAAGAAGAAAAATTAGAAGAAAATCATACTTCATTCTACTGCCCTTGGAAAACTATAAATTATGGGAAGGGGTGCCATAATCGAACAACACTTTGATTGTGCTTTTCTTGCATGGCAGAAGGTTGGACTAGATGGCCCATGTGGTCTCTTCCAACTCTTATGTTTGTATGATTCTGTGATTAAACTGAAACAAGGCTTTCTTAAACTAAAGAACTGGTGGGTATAATAACTTTATACAAATCTATGAATAATAATAATAATAATAATAATAATAATAATAATAATAATAATATAAAACTGTATTTCTAGACTGCCCTCTCTCCCCAGAAGGACTCAGGGTGGTTTATACATAAAAAGGCAATCATTCAGTGCCTCAAAGTAGGTACAAACACATCAAAGTAATACAGAATAATGGAGAGTAGTGGCAGAAACTTACAACAAAGGAATTAAGCATCAAAATAAAATAAAAAGGAAATATTTTATTTCAATTTAAACTATTTTGTTTTATCTTATTGAATGGCTTGGTATGTTTTTACTCTGTGTACATTTTCTTAAATTGTTTTAAATAAACTCAGAGTATGGAAAAATGAGATTTTACTTGAACATTAGAAAAAATCTTGATCATAATAATAATAATAATAATAATAATAATAATAATAATAATAATAATATGTATCCCGCTGTTTATCTCCATACGTAGACTCGTGATAAGAACTGCTTGACAGAGTAATGAGCTGCTTGGGAGTTCAGTGAATCAGCAATTCTGCCAATTCTCAGTTTTTCAAAAACCCTACAGATCATTGTTGTCCTCAAACCAGTCAGAAAGCCAACCAAATACAGGGGGGAAATGAAAAAATACTCCAGTCTCTCACAATTCGGGGCCAAAGCCCCAGTGAAAGTGAAAATTCATGAATAAAAATTTCATTTTTTTCCCTACAGGTATTTCTGGTCCTTCATCATGAATCTACAATCATTTTTATTCTGGAAGCTCGACACAGAATTGTTTTGGAAGGCCTAGAGATTTCTAGAGAGATGTTCTCACTAGGAATCCATAGGTAATTTAGAAGGATTGAGGAAATTTCATCATAGAATCACACTGTAGGACTTACAGATTCTTAGAAGAAATGTTTCAAATCAAATCCACAAATAATCAAATATGCAAAAGTCTAAAATGCATATGTGGAAAAATGACTGTACAAAGAAAGGAGTGGACACAACTGGCATCTTTCTCTTCTTGTAGTACCTAGTCGCCAATGTGATGAAACAAGATCTCTGGGATTTTCAAGAAATTCCCGTCTACTTCAAGACCTTCACAAATAAGAATCAAGAACTCTCTATTTGCTTAAAGGAGCATTGCTTCCTACCATTTCCCCCTCCAATGCCTCCTGTCTTTTATAAACACTTTGGCCCCATGAAGAAACTTCCTATTTTTTTCTTGTAACGCATTCAGTGCATTGCAAGGTACTCTGTTATAGTTTTGTACACAGACACTTGGAATTCAACTAACTGTTTAAGAATGATTAACCAAACTGTGTGTTGAGCTACAAACAAATTAAGATCAACTACAAGGAAGGAAAGAAAAGACAGCTATTTAGAAACATCTAGTTGCAAGCATTCCCCCTTACTTTTCCTTTACATAATAGAGTAGGATATATATATATACACACACATATATCCATTACTATCAATTATGAAAATAGGGCTTGAACTGGATGGTCCTTGTGGCTTTTTCCAACTCTATAATTCTATGAAAATATCAATCTTTTTCACATCTTGATGTCATATAAGGTAAAGGTTGTCCCCTGACATTAAGTCCAGTCATGTCTGACTCTGGGGTGTGGTGCTCATCTCCATTTTTAAGCCAAAGAGCCGGCGTTGTCCATTGACACATCCAAGGTCATGTGGCTGGCATGATTGCATGGAGCGCCGTTACCTTTCCCACCGGAGTGGTACCTATTGATCTACTCACATTTTCATGTTTTCGAACTGCTAGGTTGGCGAAAGCTAGGGCTGACAGTGGAAGCTCACGCCGCTCCCCGGAATCGAACCTGCGGCCTTTTGGTCAACAAGCTCAGCAGCTCAGCGCTTTAACCCACTGTACCACCGGGGGATCCTTCTCATATGCCTTCATTTCTTTATTTTCATATGCTTGCCACACAATGCCCCTTCTCCATATCACATAATAACACACTACTTTCTATGTAAATTGTGATCCTTGAATTAACATCAGATAACTTTCTGGAAAACATGTTTTTTTCTAAAATCCACAATGGGCAAAGAGAACATGACTTTTCTACATGGGAAACATCATTTTTGCTGATGGAGCTTGGTTCCCAAAGGTACATTTGAAAAATTGTACAAAAGTTGAAAAAGTAATGCTTAAGATATGCACTTTTTTGCTATAAAATGCAATCTGCCAAGCCCAGAAACAAAGTGATTTAATTCGTTTTGACTGTTTTGATCAATACATAATATTCTACTCATTGTCAAAAATGTCCTGTCACCTACATCTCATTTTTCAATTCTTTTGGATTTGGTACCTTTCGGAAACAAACTCCACAGTTACGTTTGCTTTCTTTCCTTTTCAATTCTGTCATAATATTAATGGAATAAAATAAAAAGCTAACTTGTAACTGTGGAGTTTGTTTCCCAACAGTTGTGTGACAAACAGGTATCATATTTGTGGTAATACCTTACCATTACTAAAGCTGCCATAAAATGAAGAGGTGATTGATTTCTTTTTTGAAGAATGGTTAATACTCTTTCTGGTGGTGTAGCTCTGACTGAAATAAGTGTTTAAAAGGGGTGCCTGAACTCAGACTTTGTATTTCTAAGTGCAAAGATTACTGCAGATGCAGACTGTGGCCAGGAAATCAGAAGACACTTACTTCTTGGGAGGGAGGAGAGCAATGATCAATCTCAATAAAATAGTGAAGAGTAGAGACATCACACTGGCAACAAAGATCTGCATAGTTAAAGCAATGGTATTCCCCATAGTCACCTATGGATGTGAGAGCTGGACCATAAGGAAGGCTGAGCAAAGGAAGATAGATGCTTTTGAACTGTGGTGTTGGAGGAAAGTTCTGAGAGTGCCTTGGGCTGTGAGAAGATCAAACCAGTCCATACTCCCTGAAATAAAGCCCGACTGCTCATTGGAGGGAAGGATATTAGAGGCCAAGATGAAGTATTTTGGCCACATAATGAGAAGACAGGAAAGCTTAGAAAAGACAATGATGCTGGGGGAAATGGGAGGAAAAAGGAAGAGGGGCCGACCAAGGGCAAGATGGATGGATGGGATCCTTGAAATGACTGGCTTGACTTTGAAGGAGCTGGGGGTGAAGGCGGCCGACAGGGAGCTCTGGCGTGGGCTGGTCCATGAGGTCACAAAGAGTCTGAAGTGACTGAATGAATGAACAACAACTCAGGTTCATTGAAAGGGTGTTGAGGAGGAACAATGCCAGAAGTGGTGGTTTCTTAAGTCTGATGCCTTAAACCCAGGTGTTATTACACAATATAAGGAGAAAAGATCCCAGAAAGAGTGGTTTCTTAAGTCTGATGCCTTAAACACGGATCTTATTGAAAGATATAAGGAGAAACAATGCCAGAAAAGGTGATTTCTTAAGTCTGATGCCTTAAACCCAGGTTTTATTGAAGGATACAAGGAGAAAGGATCCTAAAAAAGGGGGTTTAGCCAAATTGCTCACCTCTCATAATACATATGAGGATAACAATTAAAAAGCACTTAAATATTTGTGTCATGAGTTTAAAACTTAAAATACAATAAAAATGCAATTTAAATGCAATTTAAAAACTAGACTTCCCCCAAAATGAAAGGTTGACGTGTGTTTTTTAGTTAAGTATATGTGCCTGTAACATTTATACAAAGTTATGCATTACCACTGAACTGAACCTGATGTACCATAGCAGTGTGCCTTTGGATGCTAAACAAATAATGGGGAAACAATTACCTTTGTGCCTTTCTTGTTACATTGGGAAAAAGATGTCAGAAAAAGATGACCCTTAGTCTAGGAGACAGTAAGCCAATTCAGAGTCCACCTCCTTTCCTAACCAATCCTGAATCTTTATTGGGGAACATCCCAACAGGAGCCAAGGAAGAAAAAGTTAAATAGTTGTTAGGCTCTGTCTTTTGGATGTAGCCCAAAAGAAGAGTTTTGTAATTCGCTTCTAATGTAGGACTCATAAACATGCCCTAGTGAGGTTAGGGGTGGGTGTTGGGGGTGGAAATAACCTGGCCTATGAAATGAAAGTGGAAAATCACCTTTGACTGTTGGTGTTCCCTAATATCCTCATAAATACCCTCATGCTCAACTGCTAAGTCCTACTTGACCTGAGCTTCAGACTCCTGCTCTCTTCTAAGGAGTCTCTTCACTCAGCATTAACCATGAAGGCCGTATTCCTTCTTTTTGCCCTCTTTGTGCTTTCCTACCAAGCTGTCCCAGGTAAGAAGAGCTTCACTAAAAGGTTCTGGAAGGTCAAGAAAGCTGGAAAAAATTTCCTTAACAGCTAAGGAACTGCTGAAACTTGTGGCCCTTCCACACAGCTATGTAACCCAGAATATCAAGGCAGCAAATCCCACAATATCTGCTTTGAACTGGGTTATCTCTGGGATTTTAGGACTTGATATTCTGGGATATAGGGCTGTGTGGAAGGGCCCTTGGTGGCACCTAACAATGGTGAATTTTCAAATCAGATGTTCACCAGCAGCTGAGGAGAAGTTGATGTTGTTTTCTCCTTACAATATTCTGTGTTGAATTTTCATATCAGGATTATAGAAGGTAGATGGGAATTCCAAACCATGACAACAAAAGAAATGTACAGCCATCTCATTTTTTTTCCATTGAGGTCGGAAATCACAGGGTTAACATTTTGAAAGTGGTCTCTTTCCTCATTGTGAAAGACTTGTAGAAATACTTAATAATGCAGTTCTATAAGTGGAGCCTATTAGAAGGAAAGGAATCCCGGAGCTGGGAGTGCAACTGGATTAAGTTTTTAAAGGCCCCCTTCTTATCACACCTATTCTGATATGTTATGTTGCATTATCTCTGACTACAGATAAAGTTTCTGCATTTCACCCATCTCTTTTTTTCCAAATTCAAACTGCTTTCAGTTACATATCTCTGCAGAGCTTTGGGTATATTTGAATGTGTGTTACTGATTTTCTCTTTCATTTTCTGCTTCTTTTTTCAAAATGTGTTTTTGATAGGTTTCTTCCAGGAAACCCTTGAATATATATCTTATCTAGAAATATCCAAAGGCATTACCATAGTAGTCTATAGCAGTATGGTTGCATCCACACTGTAGAATTAATGCTGTTTGAAGGCACTTAAACTACCATGGTTAATGCTATGTAATCATGGAAGTTGAAGTTTTACAACATCTTTAAACTTTTCTGCCAAAGAGTGCTGGTGTTTCTCCAAATTACAACTTAGCAGTGTGTCATGGCAGTTAAACTGGTCTCAAACTGCATTCATTTTACTGAAATATCCAGTCCAATGGGTCATGTAGCACCTTTGAGGCTGGATCTACGCTGTCGTAAAAATCCAAATTATCTGCTTAGAATTGGATTATATGGCAGTGTAGATGATGGCACCTTCTACACTGCCTTGTAATCCATATTATCCAATCTGATAATCCACATTATCTGCTTTGAACTGGATTATATGGAGGTGTAATACAATTCAATAATCAGTATTATATGACAGTATAGAAGGAGGCGGGGTATTCCTTGCCATTGAAAACCCCGTGAAATTCACGTGGTCACCATGAGTCTACAGGTGACTTAAGGAACATACAGGCCCTTTTACACTGACAAAAATCTCAGGAGGAACTGGGTTATTTTAACCAAGTTCCTCTTGAGATTTTGTCCCCACCCTCAACCCAAACCCTGGACTTTGCCTTGGGAGTGGCTGTATGTAGATGCCATCCTGGGCCAACCAAAGGTGGTTGGAGGTGGTGGGTGTCATCCTGCTCCTTCAGGCTCTTGGAGCCCAAAGAATCAGGATTGCTGTAGAGAAGCAGTCCAAGGAGTCAATCCCCAAAGGATCCTCAACTAGAAAGATGCAGTTAAGGTCCAGATCTTTCTAGGTGTTTTATTAATCTGGAGCAAACTAGAAAATCCCAGTTTCTCCAAATTAATTTGCTTTTACCTGAGATGTCATTTGGATGCCTCAGGTAAAACCGAGACAGATCCCATGTTTTGGGCCTGTCTGGAAGGGTCCACAGAAATCCCCAAGGTTTTCTTGAGCCAGTATGACAGAGTGGTTTAAGTATTGGTCTATATCAGGGGTCCTCAAACTTTTTAAACAGAGGGCCAGTTCACTGTCACTCAAACTGTTGGAGAGCCAGATTATAATTTGAAAAAACAAACAAACATGAATTTATTTATTTGGGACATTTGTATCCTGTCCTATCTCAACCTCCACAGAGGGACTCAGGGCAGCTAATTCCTGTGCACACTGTTCATATCTTATTTGTAGTGCAAAGAACACTTTAAAATAGAATAATTTAAATGAAGAACAATTTTAACAAATATAAACTTATTAGTATTTCAATGGGAAGTGTGGGCCTGCTTTTGGTTGATGAGATAGGATTGTTGTTATTGTTGTTGTTGCTGTGTGCTTTCAAGTCATTTCAGACTTAGGTTAACCCTGAGCAAGGGCTGGGTAAATGACCTTGGAGGGCTGTATCTGGTCCCCGGGCCTTAGTTTGAGGACCCCTGGTAACAAAGTTAAATTTTCCACTTAGGCCTCATTTACACTGCCAGATAAAATCCAGTTTATCTGCTTTGAACTGGATTATATGGCAGTGTAAACTACTATAATCCAGTTCAAACCAGATAATCTGGATTTTATCTAGCATTGTAGATGGGGCCTTAGCCATGGAAGCTCATTAGGTGACTTCTAAAACAAATCTTCTAAACAAATCTTGCCAAGGAAATACAAAGATGGATTCAACTTAGAGTCACTGTAAGGTAAAAATGACTTTAGGCACACAGCAACAAAGCATTTTCATAACTGGATTTTGTTCACATGTAGGAAATGCTCAAGGGCCACATGCTGACACGCTTGCTTGTGGTAGAAGTGGTGGATCCTGTATGCTTGGTCTATGCAGAGGTCTTTCTGTCGAAGATGGAACCTGCCAAGGAGGGACTATGAAGTGTTGTAGATGGTAAGTCATGGCACCAGATTCAGAATAAATCATAAAATCATATAGTTAGAAGATACCACAAGGTCCATCCAATCGAAGCCCTTACCAGGCAAGAATAATATATCCAATCCAAAATGGTTATTCCAAAAACAATTTGAGGCTACATCATCAGGAGCACAGTGTCTGGATCAAGGGAAGTATGTGATTATGGCGATAATGATAATGATGTGTTCATTTGTAAACTGCCTTTCTTTCAGTAATGGAAATTAAGGCAACTAATAATGCATTAAAAAAACAATATAGATTAAAAAGTATTCAAAAACTTCAACAAAAACATTTCAACCATAAAAATAATTGAATGAACATTAAAACTAATTTTAACAAAAACAATACAGAAACTATAAAAAACAGGGAGTATGTAGCCCTCCTGGCCTTCTTAGAGTGAGAGCTCCAAATTTTGGAAGTAGCAACCAAGAAGGTCCTCTTTCTTGTTTACACCAAATGAATCTGAGAAGTTTGTGAAACTGAGAGAAGGGCCTCTTCAGATAATATTGGAGATTTAATGGGTTTGCAAATGGAAATAATGTCCTTCAGATAGTCTGGACCTATAGCATATAGAGATGAATAGGCCAGTCCTTCTCTATCATGCTTTGATTAGACTTCAGCTAGTGCACTGTATCCAGTTCTGGCCACCACAGGTCAAAAAGATATTGAGAAGATGGAAACCATTTCCTATGGGGCACTGTTTATGGTACTGTGTGTGTTTTTGCTTAGAGAAAACAAAGTTAAGAAGTAACATAGTGCATATTTAAATACCTGAATAGTTGCCATGTGGAAAATAAAGCATGCTCTCCCGGCAAAAATGATTGAACTTTTTGTCCAGTGCAGAATGTCAAGGTTGCAAAAAAAGGTCTTTGCATGTAGATGCTAAATCCATGTCTTGGTTTGACCAGCAGAGCTACCCACTGACTTTTCAATATCTGAACTTCAATCTTCTTTCTTTCTCTAGGCCTCGCCCAGCATAACTTTCTGAAGAAGACAGTGAACAACAATACATAGACTGGGATACAAAGCCATTTTCCTTGGGCGTAAACCTCTAGATGGAACAGGAAATACATACTGAAGCCAACAAGTTTTGTCAGTTGTAAGATCATTCCTCTGTGCATTAAAAACAAATTATCTTTATCACTGGTATTGTCTCTTTTTATCACTTTTTTTTTAAAAAGTTGACTTGCATTCATTTTGGAAGTTATGTCATTGTAAACCAACTTGCAAACATATAAAGTTGAATTGAACTCAGGTACAACATTCATAATCTCTGAGAGGGAATGAAGTCATAGCCATTCCTTTGGGCTTATTGAGCAAGTAGAGCCTGCAGCAAAGCCAGCGCTCAATGCATCCCCTTGTTCTCATCTTCTTGGTACAACTTCTGTTTAGACAATTATCACTAAATTGTAGGGCTGGGCGGTTTCGTTTCGTAATTTCGTAATTCGTTAAAAATTCGTTATTTTTTTTTACGAAGCGATAATGAACCATTCAGGAGCATCTAAAAAACGAAACGAATTTTTCAATTCGTTTCGTAATTGCTTCGTATTCGTTTCGTATTCGTTTCGAAATCGTTTCGTTATTATTTCCGCATGTCTGGGGCAAGTTTTATAGCTGTTGTTTGTTTAATCAGTGAAAAATATAAATATCACACCAACAGTCAACAACAGAGGGAGAGGGAAGCTTCAGAAGTTCCCCCTGTCCCATATGGAGGTTTTTTAGCGTATTGCGCGGTCGCGTCCGCCATTAACGAATCGATTCGTATTCGTTTCGTATTCGTTTCGTAATTTTACGAAATTTCGTAAATATCGAACTTTTTTAAAGAAAAATTTCGGAATTCTTTTAAATATCAAAACGCAAAAAAACCCCAAAAACGAATCGAGTTTAGAAACAAATTTTTCCGTGGTTGCCCAGCCCTACTAAATTGCCCTACAGCTCCTTCTTGGGGAAAATGTATTGTCATGGCATCCCTTCTTGCAAGCAGAACAATACAACCAAGCTTACTTTTGCCAACAAGTTTTCAGTTTGTCAATATATTTCAATTTATTTCAAGCACATTTATTTCCTGATGCAGACAGTTTTGGTAGACATAGATTCAGTGAAGGATATTTCAATATTAGAATAACTTCCTGGTAGTTGTTGAGCAGGGGGATTCCTCTTGAATTCCCTTGTTCAGCAACTGAACAGATTTCATAAGCAAATTATGGCCTCTCAGAGGTTTTTATCCAGAGGCTAGAGATTACTTACAAAGAAAGTTGTTTCAGGAGATTTCCTATATTGCCACAGGTTGGAATGAATGACCTTTCAAGTACCACTTATTTATTTGATTGTGTGGCTTGGCAGCTTTCTCTTTCAACTGCTCAAAGGACCTTGCTCTTCATTTACCCATCTCCTTTCCCAATTCCTCAACTTGAGCAACCTGGTATTCACACATATGCACAATCCAGATTGGGCTGGCTTTAAGACAAGCTGCTGAATTGACAAATATTACCATTTTTGGTGTAAAATAATCAAGTGCTATTCTCAGGTGGATGCATTGTAATATACATTTCTTTATTTCTTTTGTGCATTCCACAATCCCTGCTGAGAACAGGGTAAACATGGTTTACTCACCAGTAAGCCAACAGAGGATAATTCTTTCTCTTTGCTTGCTGGCAACTGTCTCATCCACTGCTACTGTTGGAGCCACTGCCACCATCTCCTCCTTGCAAGGTGAAACCTTTTTCTTTCACTCCTGTTTTGCCTTATAAGTTATTGTCCACTTCTGGTGGCAATGCATCACTCTTCTCTAGCTCCCAAATGCCAGAACGGCCATGGTGGGGATGAGGACTGACGGTGGCTGCTGCATCCCAAAGCTGGCTGGAAACTGGGGAACCCTCATTGCCACTGAGAAGCCTAGAGGAGAGAGATCTTGCTTTTTAGGTCACATGAGTAAACAACATAAACTTTTTTTTGTCGTGTCAGGAGCAACTTGAGAAACTGCAAGTTGCTTCTGGTGTGAGAGAATTGGCCGTCTGCAAGGATGCTGCCCAGGAGACGCCCGGATGATTTGATGTTTTCGTCATACTTGTGGGAGGCTTCTCTCATGTCCCCACATGAGGAGCTGGAGCTGATAGAGGAAGCTCATCCACCTCTCCCCGGATTCGAACCTGTGACCCGTCAGTCTTCAGTCCTGCCGGCACAGGGGTTTAACCCACTGCACCACCGGGCCTCCTTTAAGTTAACATTAAAGGTAAAGATTTCCCCTTGACATTAAGTCTAGTCATGTCCAACTCGGGGGGGGGGGGGGTGCTCATCTCCATTTCTTAGCCAAAGAGCCGGCATTGTCTGTAGACATCTCCAAGGTCATGTGGCCGGCACAACTACATGGAGCACCATTACCTTCCCACATTCCCATTTTCTATCAGCCATAGAATGCTATAAACACATCTTTTTCCTTTTACTCAAAATGATCTTGGAAATTGATTCAAATCAGACTGATTTCCACATAAAGCAGAATTTCTGCTTTTCAGTTGGATTTGAGATTTATCCAAATTGGTTACATTGTCCCACACACTGATTGGGCTCCAGTTCTACAAAGGAGTTCAACCATATCCACCACACTGTCCCAGAGTAATGTGCTACACACTTTTGTCAGTACCAGTGCTCTAATCTAGCTACATCTTGGAAGGTCTGGAGAAGTGGTTTACAACCTGTGGGTCCCCAGATGTTTTGGCCTTCAACTCCCAGAAATACTAACAGCTAGGCTGGGATTTCTGAGAGTTGTAGGCCAAAACACCTGGGAACCCACAGGTTGAGAACTACTGGTCTAGAGATAATTCATGGAAAAAAGAAGACTTGGAAAAACATTCTAAAGAATATTAGTTTACATCACAAAGAGATCAGGATAGATATGTAATAAGCAGGAGCTTCCTGTATAAAATACGTTTTAATTGGGCAAATTAACAGAAAGCCTAAATCCTGTTCTAGTTGGAGCAGTCCAAGTCAGGAAATTGTCAGACAATTTGATTGACATCCCACATTTCCTGGGCTCAAGTGGCTCAGTGATGCAGGATAGAAGCCCCTCCATTAAAACAGACCACCTACCTTCTCATGGGTGTTCTGGCTGTTGTCAGTCAGAGCACCAACTTGCTGAGCAGCATTGGAAAAGGAAAGATGGGCTTTGCCCACACTTCCAGCCTCCTTAGTGACATGGTGCTCTGGCTGATGTCAACCAGGGAGCCCATGGAAATGTAGGTTGGGATGTGACTTCGCAGCTGGTAACAGTCATGACAGGGGAAACAAGGGAGTGCTGTAGGGTGGTTGCTGAGTAGTGTTGAACCATGGTCAACATGGCTGAGCATTGGGCTTCCCTGTCATGTCTTAGGAATCATAGAATCATAGAATTGGAAGAGACCTCATGGGCCATCCAGTCCAATCCCCTGCCAAGAAGCAGGAATATTGCATTCGAATCACCCCTGACAGATGGCCATCCAGCCCTTGTTTAAAAGCTTCCAAAGAAGGAGCCTTCACCACACTCTGGGGCAGAGAGTTCCACTGCTGAACGGCTCTCACAGTCAGGAAGTTCTTCCTCATGTTCAGATGGAATCTCCTCTCTTGTAGTTTGAAGCCATTGTTCCGCGTCCTAGTCTCCAAAGCAGAAAACAAGCTTGCTCCCTCCTCCCTGTGGCTTCCTCTCAACTATTTATACATGGCTATCATATCTCCTCTCAGCCTTCTCTTCTTCAGGCTAAACATGCCCAGCTCCTTAAGCCGCTCCTCATAGGGCTTGTTCTCCAGACCCTTGATCATTTTAGTCGCCCTCCTCTGGACACATTCCAGCTTGTCAGTATCTCTCTTGAATGTGGTGCCCAGAATTGGACACAATATTCCAGGTGTGGTCTAACCAAAGCAGAATAGAGGGGTAGCAATACTTCCCTAGGAGGTTAAGAGAGTCCAAATTTGGCTGCTGTACAGGGCTGATCCAGCATCCAAGATGTTGGATTGTCCCAGCATTATCAATCTGTGTAGAACCACCTAAAATATGTTTCCCTCCAGGTGGTTATTAAAGCTACTGATGAAATATTGACAAATTCTGATTTCTTGTATACAACCAAGCAGATAGAGGCAAAACTGCCTTCAGCCAACAAAGAAGCATATTATTTTCACATCTCAATCCTTCAGAGTTGACCAATAAGCCCAAGGCGATGATGAAATGGTTTCCTAAAGTATCAGATTTTTGCTAAGAGGATATAGCAATGCATCAGTGCCAAATGATTCCTCATGAGGATATAAAAACAGAGATTTCCTGTCTCATCTCATGCTTGCTATCTTTCATTGAAAGAAGAAAGGTCCTGCTAGAATACCTTTGTTGCTTTCCAGAACTATGAAGACACAGTGCCTCTTCCTTTTTGTCCTTGCTTTGGTACTTCTTCCAGATACAGGTAAGTAATGCTCTTTCAGGGTACAGAATTAATACACTCACATCTGTTAGATAATATGGATGATGTTGGGAAATCCTTCTCTATACAAACACAAAAGTTCTAATTAGAATAGACGCATTGAATAACATTTGACTGATAAGTCAACATGAAGGCAAACTCAACTGATTCAATGGGTTTATTCTAGTTAGGATTAACAATAGATTTGTTTAGTGAAGATAAGGTGACTCCCACATAAGGAGTCACCATAAGTCAAAATTGACTCAAAGGCAGTTAATAATAGAAAATAAAGAGATCTGGTTATAAAATGATTGAATTTTTTTTTTGCATGCTTTTGAATTGGAACCAATTTATGCTCATCCTAAGGCAACCCCATCCTGGGATTTTCAGAGACTGAGAGTGCCGGACTCATCCACAGTCTCCCAGTGGGTTTCCATAGTCAGGCAAGGAATCAAACCCTGGTCTCCAGAAGTGTAATCTAACACTTAAACCAATAGAAGTGTGCAAAGTGGCTGAAATCCTATTAACAATTCATTTCAGAGATTTGGATGGCCCCTGCTTCATTTCATAAACATTCTGAGAGGTCTTGTTCTGATTAGTAATCTGAATCTCCAAAGCTTCATAATTGTTTTTTAGGATTTATTCCATTAATGGCAATGGGGAAATTTTTGAAGTTCATTTTCCTGTTATTTTTGTGGCTATCAGGATGAAAATTAGCAG